TCTTCCCTTAAGCACTACAAGCTCTCTATTCATGCTGACTCAAACCTGGCACTGCTGTCTGTCACTGGCCACTGCATACATCTCTAATGGCAGTCAGTACTTGACTAGGGGAAAATGCTTGACAAATAGAATTTCTCTGCAATTTTATTTCTCACCTCTTATCTACCAATAATCTTTTTTTTTTATCTGAGTCCTACCCTAGCTGGGAAACACGCTGTTCTGCTGTATCTCTGCATAAGCAAATCTTTCATAATGTCTGCCTCCAGCAAAGATGACAAGGCAACGTGGAGACTGCCATGTGCTGACCCCACCTTTCAGCCCACTTCAGATTGAGTTGCCTGTGGCACAGACCTGATTTATTACAGGCCAGAGAATAGCAAGGTAAGTTTTCTTTAAGTTTTTTATCTAATCATTGCCTGAAACATGGGCAGATTGTTCTTTCTGCAATGATATAGCAACTTTTCTATCGTTTTTAAAATATGATTTGTCCCTGCCTACAGTAGGCACTAAACTGCACCAGCACAATCATCTTTATTTCCCACGTGTGAGAAGGACTAGGAAGGTGAGAGCTTTTATTTGGGAACTGGAAGCAGGGAAGCTTCCAGCTAAAATTATTTGAGAAGAGTTTGGTTAACCAGAGTTCCCTGGAGAAGGGTAGGCTTTGCACAGAGGTTGAGCCATAGGAGACAGGAAAGGATGAATCTGAGAACTCAGTCCACAAAACAAGGTTAAAAGCTTTCTTTGGAGGCACTGCAAATCCAACTTGGCTGGCCTGTAGGGTTCTTTGTGTGACTACTTTGTCTTCAAACTCTGTGAGGAAGGACAAGAGGGACAGAGGTGGGTTGACCTTTTCAAGCTACGTGGCCTTGAAGCAAGCCATAAGCCACTAGAGTAAGCTGGAAATACGACTGGGGAAACTAAGGCAGAGCACCTGCTGGATTGTGTCTTGCCATAGAGTGGCAGTCTAATGCCATGGTACAGAGCTAAATTCGTACTGTTGAAGAGATGACTTATATAATCTTTTCATCTCAGTGGAAAAGGCCTTTTTTTTTTTTTTTAAGTCTTAGGGGAAAAAAAAAAAAAGTATTTGAATGGACTTTTCTAAACCATCCTTTCTGATCTGGCCCTTCTGTATTCAGTCCAGCCCTGGGATTCTCGCTGTCCTGCTGTAGGGCAAAACAGCTCTACAGTGGTACACGCTTGCTGGCTGCACCCAGTGGTTTGTGCTTTTGCTGGCCACCATAGAACTTGGCTAGCCTATAAAATTAGAACTACCTATGAGGTGAATTATTCACTTCTACAGCTAAGCAGAAACCATGTTGATTTGATTTACTGTTTTCTATTTTATCTATTGATTTTCGCGTAGTCGAAACAGTGTGCTCCCATAAAAGGCCATACAGAACTTTATACTCTGTTTAACAATTTTATTTACAAAGGGTGTACTTGCCTCCCTGTTGCCTTGCCTAGTTACTCCAGGCACGGAGAACTAACTTACATTTCTATTACTAATAGAGCACAAAGAAGCACAACTCTCTCCCTGCTTTATTTGGGGTGCCAAAATTGCAGTGTGTTGTCTGGGAACAGCTAGGAAGCGGGAGAGTTCCCACCTGACAGATTTAGCTGTTAAAAGGCAAAAAGAACACAGATGGTCGAAAGCAGATTTCTGTATAAAGTGAGCAACCAGTTTTCACCTGCATATCTAAGCAGGTAAGTTTGTTGCAGGTACCAGTACAAAAGTCGGCCTCTGAAAACGCTTTTGAAAGAAACGTGTTTTCCGATCTTACAGCCACTGACAAGCAATACCACAGCAAATACCCAGGGCTCACAACTTTTATGCAGGAGGGACTGTGTAAGGAAGGCTGCTATGGACTAAGATTTTATAGTGTGGTATTGTCTTTTGAAAGGCAGATACTGAAAATGGATAGGCTTTCAAGCGAAAAATCAGTAATTCCTCCCTCTCCCATCACTTACAGAAAGAACTAGTGTGTTTAGAAGGCAAGCAGAGTGTATTTTGAGGGTAGCATTGCTATCTTCAAGATGTTTTACAGGTGTTATCACTATCATTCTCCCCATCATAACAGGGGAAAAAAACCACCCAACTTCCTTGCTTTGTGTATTCCTCGTTTGTGGTAACTCAAATACCAGAACTGTATCTGCACTCAAAGAAGAGTAGTCTGAGTAGTCTATTCCTTTCTCCTCATACTGGCTTTGGAAACCTAGGTGATCTTTCCTAAAATTTAAGGAAGCCCAGGTGAGCTTTCGTAAATATGTCTCAGAGACATTAATGCCTGGCTGACCCTACCCCTGGTCTTCTAACACCCCTGGCATTTACCAACAGCAGTCTTTATCTTCTAAGCAGCAGATCACCTGTCCTTTCAGTCCACTCTGTATTCCTGCAGATGAGCTAAAACCTAATTCCACATAGAGCTCCCAGCCAAAGAAGAGGACACTGTTCCCTTTCACTCATTGTGATAGACCTCCTTTGCTCATTTTGACATCTAAATTTTAACCATGCTTTATCTCTCCCTTGTCCTGTTAGACAATTTTCTCCGTTTCATGGAAGGGCCCCAGAGTCCATGGTCTTTCTGCTGTTTTTGCCTGTAGTTTATAAAAAGCTATGAACAGAAGTTAACTACCAGGAGCAAGACGTGCAGGGGAAAGTCAGGACTCTAAAACCAGGAAGGATGTTCTCACTGTACCTCAACGTGACAGAATTCAGAGACATGAATTCTGGGCAGGTTTTCTCTTCTCCAGAAGTGACCAGAGGGCAATTCAAACCTGGGCCATGAGCCAGGTGGGCTTCTGGAGTGTTTCACACACAAAACTGTGGCAGAAATGTTTGAAAACTTTAGAATAAGCAGGATGACTTTAGAAAGTACCTGGGGTCATCAGCTGATGCATTTTCTCCATTAGGTTTCCCAGGGATGCAACAGAAGTAAACTTTTGGTGAAGAATAAACAAGGGAGAGAGAGAGGGCAAATTCCTCTCCAGATCTGTAAGTCTAGCTTTCTGATGACTTGAAGCCTTACCTATGAAGAAAAACAACTATTGCTCAGTAAAATACTTCAAATTGTTCTCTCTGGTTTAATACTGCATATAACACAGAAGCAAGTCTGAGAGGAAAAAAAGTTTTGTGAATGATTTGCTATTGTATGTCTTTGTCTGACTTCCCAGGCCCTAGGTAAAGAGAATGTGATGCCTCATCCTTCACACCTTGTGCAGTTCTAGGACATGACTCCTCTCCTTCCATGGAAGCTGAGCCATTGCATATAAAATAGGTCAGCTGAATTGCCTCTAGCAATTGGCTATCACACAGGATCAGACAACTGTAATCATATGAGAACATTTCCATTGGACATGACATCTGCCTTTTTAGTAGTAAAATGCAGAATTATCTTCCAAAAAGGTCCCGTCCCTAAAAATGTCCAACATCATGGCTTGTTGCCTCATACGTCCAGTGTGCTGCATGCAAGGAACATGAGTGATGGATTTGGACTTCATATCAATGTCTTTTGAAGTTTGTACCATTAATGCCACATCCACTGATGCCCTGATATTCATGTGTCTGGCGTCACGCAGAGAAGAGGGGAAGAGCACACCCTGGAAAATCACCACAGAATCTAAGATATTGACAAAGTTAAAAATTATCAGGTGATTAGCCACCTCTGAGCTCAGGTCTGCCACAGCTAGTTTAAATCTGGATTGATTGCATCTACTTAACACTGCAGGGCAGGGATACACAATGAAATCTCTCTGCCTTTCACAACAGTTAATAATTATTTTTAAGATCTCACAGTTTGAGAGCCTATAGAGTCTAAGCAGTGTCTCCACTGGTTAATGTTGAATAGCCTGGTGACACAAGGTACCTTCCCCAAATGACTATCAAGGAAAGGGAATCTGCAGCATTATAGGTGAGTGCTTTTGATATAGAGGCACAGCTCCGGCTCACGCAAAGAAATGTGATCCCTTTTCCCTCAGTTTAAGGCTAGGTACTGCAAGTGCCAATTTAAGGAAAGGTACATGAGAAGGGGAATCTGCGCTGAGCTGAGGGAATATACCCACCATTACTATCACAGCCTTCTCCTAAAGGCTTTCCAGAAACAGTTCACACCATTTATTTTTATTACCAATTGCAATGAAGCTAATAGCCTGCATTAGGGTAGTTATGATGGTGGGTGGAAAGCCTAAACTCTATGATATTCAAGCTACGGTATTTGCTCAAACAGTTTTTTTCACACTCTGCCTAATCCTCTATTGCAATTAAACACCGCTTTACCACAGTGAAAACTAGCCTTCAACTCCGAATACAGCAATTCATATGTCTTTGCACAGTGCAATGTAAAGGAAGGTTTGTGTGAATAAGAATCTGCTCATGCATGCCCTAACTAAACACAACTGAAAAAGGAAGCAGACAACTCTTGAAACAAGTGGTTATTTGCTGTTCTCTGCCTAAAGTATTTGTGTGCTTTTTTTTTTTTTATCTGAAGAGCAGAAAAGGATGATGTCAGTGGGTTTTATCCCTATTTTTTGTTTATTTTTAGAAGTGGACCAACAAATAACCATGACCTAAATTCTACAAGACAGAAGTGCATGCAAGCACATTGTTAAATATCAGAATCTATTTGAGTCCAGACAATTTCAGCAGAACTGTTCACATACATCTTCTTTAAAAGCAGACTACAAAAAAACTAATTCACCAACACAGTGAAAATGAACAGTAAGGTCTAATATTTAAGACAGACAGCGCAGTTAACCTTTTAACTTCTTTGTCTTCGTACAGGGATAATATGGATATAGCATTTAAATTTAGACATAAATCTGTCAAAGGCAAAAAAGATACCAGCACTTTTAAGTGAGCATCAGTTTTATACTTGTCATTAAAGTGAAGCTGGAGTCTGGATGGAAGGAGCTTCAAACTGGGCATGTGCGGACCCTGCTGTCTCCTGTATTTAAATGGAAGCCGCTGCTGCTGCCCTTTGCTAAGCTGAAGATGGAGTGAAGCAATCTGAAGCTCTAGTGAGAAACTCTGCACTGTACTCGCATTATTCCAGAGAATCTAACAATCTTCTTTACACACACACAAACAAGTAAATTGGCTGACTTAAATTCAGAGGAGAGCTTTTCTTTCTTTTTTTTTTTTTTTTTTGCTTAGATTTTGTTCACTTGAATAATCAGCCCATTCAAAGGGGGATCTTTCATCCCTCTGAGGACCTCAACGGCACCAAAATTGTGGAGTCCTTCAATGCATGGAATAACTTGGAAGCCAATGCCTACACACTGATGGACCTGCCTCTTAGAGCCCCAACAGTAAGTGTTTTCTGTCACTAAAAGCTGTAGCAAGTAGTTCTGCTGGCAAAGCTGGCATTTATAGAACTGTAAATGGACATTTAAGGTGCACATTTAATGCTGTAATACAATAATGAACAACATAGTGCAAACTTTAAAATCTTTTTATTCCTTTAACTATTTATTTACTGCAGAAAGGACTGTAGAATCAGTGTTTTTCAGCAGTGTTACACAGGCAGAAGACAGGGCGGCATGTCTAATGGCAAAGTACACCAAATGTGTTGAAAACTATCAAAGCAACATGTTCCTGTGCATTAAACAGTTGTTTAGCAGTTCAAACACAATGCTATGTTATGTTATTATTCAAGATGGAAATCCCCATCATTTCTGTAACAGTCCTTAAGCACAGTGGAGTGCTTATGTAAATGTTAGAGTTGTAACTTGCAGTTACCCAAGAGAGCTGTTCAGAAGGTTTTCCCAGGTAAGTTCTATCAAAGCTCTTTCTCAGTTGTTAAATACTAAAAAGAAAGAAAATTTCCTTAGAAGTGTGATGGTGAGAATCTGTTGTGACAACACATCAGGATGGAATTTCTTTGGGCTCACTAAAAGTATTCTCTATCCCACCCCCCAAGCCTGAACCAAAGGAGTTCAGAAGTCCTCTTCCTGGTTGTGTATCTCAGAATACTATTAGGATTAGAAAGTTTTGTTGACCTGCTGTTTATATAAAAGTCTGTTTAAAAGTAAAGAATAAAAAAATGACCCAAGCTAATTTTTAAAGTTTTTAACACCTGAAATTCAACTTAAAATCTTGATGTGGTCACACCAGGTATTTTGGCATGGACATATAACACTTAAAAATTGTGTGCAGGTTTCAAACACTGCAAAAGTTTTTATGCATATAGGATGTTGGATTGGGTGTTTCAGTTTGATCCTAATTTATAACGAAGGACCAGTAAATATTTTATTATTTGTATAGTAATAATACAGTCTGATTGTTTATTTTTTTTAATAAAACCTGAATGTGTGCAGTGTTACAGAAAAATAAACAGAGGAGTATGCTGAGCCAAGGAGCTTACAAACTAAATTAGATGGATAACATATGAAAGAGGATAGCAGAACATAGCAGGGAGGGAGAAGAGGGACTGGAGAGCGCACAGCAATATGGAAAAGGTTTCTGGGGACAGAGTGATTTACATTGGAAAATTAAAAATTGATTTTTTCCTTATTCTGCTGAAAGAGGTAATTAGCTGTTCATTCCCTCTCCCTAGGTCAAGTGACTGTATTTTCAAACTTTTGCATTTTAATTTGACACTAAGATTGGTTTAAGAGAGTTTCAGGACTGAAAACAATACGTGCTGCTTGTGGTTGAGATTAAATCCGGAAGACAGGATACAAAATCTGCTATCCAAATTGCTCAACGGGACAAATATCATCTATGGAAAGCCCTGCTGTCTACTGGAAAGAGGGCTTAGCAGTTGGCGTCACCCTGCTGAAACCATAATTGAGGTGGGATTACACTCTTCTTTGTGCTGTCTGTCATCACAGAGCAAGTGCTTACAGAGGCAAGCTCAGAAATCAGAGCGAGGAATGGTGAAGAAAAATAAGTGCTATCAGTTGTTTGAGGCCTCCTGTAGGTAGGCAGTACAAACACTGCACCTAGAAACCCTAGGAAATTACAGTGTTTCTCTTCTGATAATTTTTCTAAACTATAAGATTTGTTGTAACGTAAAAGGCCTAACACTACTATTGGTTGTATAAGTCATACTGTGTAAATAAGGGGCTTCATTACCTGTATTTGTAGGAAAATTAAGAACAAAGAAACCTGATACGTTGCCAAAGTCAACATGGGACTGCCAAAACTGGTGATGTTTTGGAACTGGGCTCTGTTCCATTAAAACATTCATTCTGCAAAAACAGTGCCTACAGTTTGAAGCCAGATGAATTCATAAAAGCAATGACATAGCAGTCCCTATTTCCCTTTCTTGTTTTACACCAAATTAGATACAATTCATCTGACATCCAGGAAGAAGTAGCTGAAAAATGTCCTTGTCTTAGTCTTTTCTGTTCCTGGCTTTTGAAAAAATGTCACATAAAAACCCCAATTCATCAATCGGAACCAGCATTGAAATATCTTCAAATCCCCAAATGACCTTATGAGGATTTCTTCTTTCCCTATAAGTATAAACTAAACTTTGCTTTATACTCTTGCCATTGGGAGACTGTGAGGAGCGGGCTATATCAAATATGATTTATATTCAGTACAAGTATTTACATGCATGGCCTTGCTCCTACCATCATCACTATTAGCTTTTGTAGGACTTCAGTAATCAACGTCTCCAAGTGAACAGTAATTAAGTGATATGATTTTTTTCGTACTCTGAAAAAGAACAGATTTTTTATTTCCCCATTAATAATTGAACTGTATTATTTGCATGTTGTTCTTTTTTCACTTACACACAAATATTTTTCTCATGCTATGGGCGGGGGAGAGAGGGTTGGACTTTCAAAACTGGTATGTCTTCTAGTAGAAGTTATTCAGAGGTGAGCTTGTTTGATTGGTTTGGGTTTATTTTTTAGTCAATTATGAAATAACTATTTAGAAAACCTTCTCTTTAGGAAAATGTGTATAGTAAACAGATTCCCAAGACAGAATAGAAACAGGCATCACATATTCCTGGGTTTTATATCTCATCTAGGCTTCCTTCTAACCTGGGCAAATCGCTTAGGAATCACGGTTTTGTCCTGGACTGCAAAGGAATTCCTTTATCCTTTTAACTCTCTCCAGACCAATGTCTTGCAAGGTCTTGACAAACTACATGGTGAAATAATGAGGCTCCATGTTGTGCTGCAACCTCCACAGACAAAGATAGAACAGCAAAGATTTAGATATATTTATCTATCAAACATTCCCTTTTCTCCGAACTCCCAAAAAGCATCTCAGATTTGTAAGTCTCAGTCAAGTTTACTGAATGATAACTGAAAACACAGTAAGTTCTGGTTTAGCTGTTTTGTTGTAGGCAGTAGACAAGCACTCCTTTAGGGAGAACAATGAGCATTTTAAGAAGGCATTAAACCTAGCTGCTTCCCTCTATTCTAGCGTTTACACAAGGAAACACTTAAACCTGCTGGGAGGAATTACTCTAATGGAGAGCAACTTCATAACTTCTTGCCACTGACCCTACTGAGGCAAATGATAGAGTAGGATTTAGAAAAGGATTACACTTATATATGGAGAATAAAAATATCTTTCACTAAGATTATCCTTTCAAAGGGATAATAACCCTGGTTTAGGGTACAAACCAACTGCTAAGACTCTATACTGAAAATGAAATTCCCACATCGCTGTTCATTATGCATGTTTCACAGCTTTGTGAAACACCCAATCATGGCTAAAGGCAGGCTATTGTTTTGTCAGCAATGCTGGTCTGAATCAGTGTGGCACTTCCCAAATTTCTTATCACACCAAAATTATCCATCTGATTCTGCAAAACTACAGTGTAAATAAATCATAAATAATAAATTACTTTCCCATCAGAGATTAAAAACACAAATTCTTTTACAGTTCTAGCAAAAGGCCAGTTTTCATATACACCCAAACAATACCATAAAACCTGCTTTTAAGGTTGACCGAAATGCTGTCCTTGGCTAGTGATATGTTCTCCAACTGACCCTCAGTACTTACTGTGAAGAAATTTCGTTATGTTACTGTTACTACCATGATGTCCTCCACAGCTTCCATGACCATTTTGTTTGCTTGCTTAAGAAATGTGCAACGTTTATGTTGACTAACTCTCAGAAAGTTGGTTCTTCCCAATGAATTGCTTCCCACAGAATTAATACCGATCTAAGCCACTCACAGCACAGCTGGTCTCTGGGTATACTGGCACCCTGTGGTCCAGAGCCACAGGTCCAAGTATCTTTAACCTGTTGACTCAGGAAAGCTGTAGTCTGTTGTCCATCCGCTGGAAAATGTCAAACCTCTTAGCTTCCAGTTCAGTTTCATTGTGCATTTGGTGATGTTTTGAACCATGTTACATTAAATAAACTGTGATGTCATATCACTTAGAAGAGAAATAATTAAGTGCTGGTTTAGCTTGTTCATTTTTACTATCTTCATTATGAGGTTTTCATAGAAAGAAGGCTAAACAGAAAAACATGCAGGGCAACAATGCTATGTATTATCAACAGTTGAAATAGTTGGTCTAGAGTATTCTCAAAGGTCAATTGCTACCGTGGGGATTCCAACAGCGGGATTCTTATTCTCCCTTGCCAACCAAGCACTCATACCGTGGGATGACAACAGAAAACAGATACTAAACAAGGCTAATGTGCTGGAGAAACTAAATAGAGAAAAGCTTTGGGAATTGTCTCATTTCTTGATTATCCTGCTGATCTGATTTCCTCAACACTACCTTTTTCTCACTGTCCTTTCTTTTGACGTACAATTCCTATAGAAGATCTAGAGCTGAACTTGATACAGGCATGTGTTTTCATCTTCTAGTAAGAAAGCTGTATGTATGCAACTTAGTGACGAGGTTGAACTGCTCAGTCCTGATCTTTGTACCTTTGTACTTTAGTACCTTTCTTTGACTTAAAGAAGCTTTGAATCAGATCTGTATTACCAATAAAAACAGTAAAATGACTTCTTTTAATAATTGACTTTTTCCTCTTAGAGAACAGACAGAGTTAGATCCTGTGGTAAATATCCCAGGACTATAGGAAGTCCACGCTAAAATGTGAATTTATTCCTGTTTGCCACAGACCTTTTTTTTGCCCCTATACTTAATAATATTTATGTGCTATCACTGCTCCTTTATTTTTTTCACACTTGACATTTTTATTGACTCTGAACTTGCTTCATTCCTGAATAAGTCATTTAAAAGTCTTCTACTGTCCCTTAAATAACCTTTCCTCTCTTGTGATTTCTCTATTTATATTTATCTTTTAAATTTTCCCTTGTCCTTATTCCTCCACAAATTTAATTCAAATTAAAGTCATTTTAATCTGTTCTTTGTAGGCAAAACAAGCTCCTTCAGTTGCTTCATTTCTGTTACCTTGATCTAGTTCTGATTAAATGGATAGCTACAGGGAAAAACTTCAGAAACCTCCATTCCATTAACAATCATCATTAGCTCTCTGTAGAACAGCACCTAAAAATGTTCTAGCTACAAGGCGTAGGAGAAAAAAAAAACAAACCAAAGAACACCTGATCTCATTTATTTAAAACAGTTTTATCTCAGACACTCCTCTCCACTTGCTAGAAGTATCAGAATTTTTTTTTGTTATTTTACTGGCAGTGTGTTAAGCACAGTAATTTCTACCGAGGCGAAGTGCCCATTGATGATGATGATGATGATAATGATGTGACGTCAATTTCCACTTTGCTGCAGGAACCTGAACAATAAATGCCATGATACTGTCATTCAGTTAGTGTATCAACCTTAACATTTTGCTCCAATTACAATAACAGCCAGAGGTACATTTTCTGCCTCTGAGATCAGATTATTTGTCCAGCATTTCATTGCTGCTAATGTAGAAACCCAGGGAGTGCACTTTAGTTGTTGAAGATTGCTGCGGGCAGATCTTCAGCTCAGCAATCTTCAGGTCTTCAGCAAAGACTATCTCTTCCAGAATTCCAGACGCTCCTGGGGTTCACCTCTTGCTACTGGCACATTGGTTTTAAACACACACTGTTTCTAATAACTTCAGCTCTATCTCACAGATGTTTTCAGAAGTAATGTCTGCCTCTATTGCCTGAAAATACCCATTTCCTTTGATAACTGGGGTGTCGTCAAAGGTATTTCTGAGTTGCACTCTAATGGTGAATACCAATCACTAACACAACTGTAGCATAAAAGGGAGATCTTCACATCCTCAGCACCTTCCTCCTTTCCTACCAGCAACCTTCCTCTTCCTGGGAAGGAAACACACGGCACATGACAGCTGTACCACCACCTGCCAGTACTTGTGACTGGAAAGAACATGTCCAACCTCATAGCACTATTTAAGCTTGATACAGGCACAGACCTTTGTACAGCCAATTCCCTTGTCCTGGATCTTAGGCCACAGACAAGTTGACAGTATTCATAGTAGGCAGGCTACAACTGATTCAAATATTTCATGGGCTTTACTCAACGCTGGTGTGATTCTTGTAGCTCAGTAGCTGAGGAATGCACGGCTGCAGCTTGCAGGCTTGAGCTATGAGTAGTGGTCATGGCATGCCATTCCAGAGCAAGTGCCACCCTTGATGAGAAAAGCCTGGCTATGAAGGAGACAGGATCTGTTCACGCAGATGAATAAGGATGGGGTTTGGTATTTTTCATGACTCCATCAGCTGGTTGGAGCTGATGCCAAGACACGTTTGCACAGAGGTGAGTGTTTTAAGTCTCCTTGCCTGACCTTATATCAAAAGGCAGCATAACAGTGATGGTTCACACAGCTGTTCTTCTCTCCTCTTCAATTTCTATCGGGTCATCTGCTTCCTCAGTGCAGCCTAATTGTTCACTTCATTATTAATCTGGGGTCAGTTGGCCTAAAACGTGTTTGTGGCTCCTGATACTTAACTAAAAATGTTTTTAAATTATTATTTAAAATGCTATTGTCTTCAGACTTGGCAACTGAATTTTGCTATGAGTTATAAGTTGATCAAGACACAAATGCTTTCATCAAGTGCTTTATCACATACTTGACAGAAAGCAAAACACCTTCATTCAGTGCAGAGTGAAAACAGAACCGATATGGAAATCAGGCATAAGGTATAAGGGATTTGTGTTCCAGTGTTTCTGGAATTTAGTTAATTCTGTTAATCTAGTTAATTCTGTTAATTTAGTTTCCAAAAGACTCTTGTTCAATGCTGCCAGGTTTTTGGTAACCAAGTCTTGAGGGCAGCTCACAATTCAGTGTTATGCAGTGGGAGAAATTAAATAGCAATACTACTAAAGGAAGAGATGCATGTTTATCCATAGAAGATCATTTCTACTTAGAGAGGTCTAGCCACTGCTGTCGGATGACAACAGAAATCATACTTCATGAGTACAGAAACTTTCCTGAAATGAAAACTACAGAAAACCTACTTGGTAAGTACTGTGTTACTTGATGTCAGATAGAATGAAAAGGGTCCCTTCCTGTCTCTCTTTTTCTCCTCTATATCCTTATCTTTCTTTTGGGAGAGAACAGATTGTTTTTCTTCACCAAAATTCTAAATCAACAGTAAATATATAAACTGCCCTTTGATGTTTGCACTGCTGATGGCATATTTATCCCCTGAAGATGATCAATAGTAAATGTAATTTGAAAGCAATTAACTTCTTCTGGCTTCTTTTGCTTGCTGACTTTTTGCATTCTTGACCACTTCCTCTTCTAGAGAAGCACATGCCGGCTTATTCAGTAAAGTCAGACAATATACCTATGACCTCTTGTTTACTCCACAGAAGATGACAGTCCAAGATGTTCCTGGTGCCTTTCCTACAGTGGATGTCCCAGACCACGCCCATTATACAATTGGAGTAGTCATTCTTATAGTGGGGATCACAGGAACTCTGGGTAATTTTCTGGTCATCTATGCTTTCTGCAGGTATCTTTCATTTGGATGTTTTTTTTTAAATACTGAAATTTATGAACTTTAACAATACCTTGACTGTGCTCTGCAAATGCAGCACGGGCAGACTATCAGACTGCTATGCAGACATAGTAAAATGCACTACGAGACACTGCTGTAGGAAAAAAATATGGCAACCCGCCATTTCCCTCTGACTTCCTCCCATTAACCACAGCCATAGCAAAATTGCAGAGAATCACCCAGATATGCCAAGCAATAGAGAAGCACCCAAAGGAGATACCTTCCAGTGATTTTTTTTTTACTGGCTGAACTGTGTCTGCACTGGACTGATGGGATGTTTTGCACCTGTGTCTCCCACATACTTTCTCTATGTTAGATGTTTCCTTCCTCCTTCTGCTTACTACTCAGTTTCTTTTCCCCCTCTGTTCCTTACTGGCCATGTCTCTCATTTTCACATTTTCTAACACTTGGCTTATTTCCTTTTAACTAAAGCCATACTCCAACTTTTATATCTGAAGGAAACTGGATCTCGGACAACAATGTGATATTTTCACCATTCTTTTTCACTCATCCTGTTTCTGTTTTGTCACACTGGGCCAGAGCATTGGCATTACAGGCTGCCCAGAGAGGTTGTGGAGTCTCCCACTCTGGAGACATTCCAAACCTGCCTGGACGCTGTCCTGTGCAATCTGTTGTAGGTGACCCTGCTCTGGCGGGTGGGTTGGACTAGATGATCTCCAGAGGTCCCTTCCAACCCTGACCATTCTGTGATTCTGTGTGATTCTGTGATATCCAACCCAGTGAGCTTCTACTTCATGATTGATCTTTAGACACCAACGTAATAAACCAAAACAATAGCAGTTATATGATCATTTGGCTGTGTTAACTTACATCACTGGAGTGGGGATTAAAGTAGTCTGGATCTTGAGCCTACATTTCTGTGGCACATTAAACAGTAGGTTTCAGTATTTGCATTCAGGGTAGATGCAAACACGTAAGTATGAATGACATGGCCTTAAGAACACAAAAGGTCTTGGCACGCAGGCCAGGTATGTGAGGATAAAGTACGTGAGCTCTTTGGCTGGTCCATACAGAAAATGCAGTCATGGCAGTTACAGTTCCACTGGAGGACATGGTTTGTCTTCATTTGAAGATGTTATGAAGATAGATAGGGATACTGATAGCAAAGTAACAAGCAGATCAGACGTTCAGAGAACACACCAGATGCCTACAAAGTAATCTCAAGTAATGGCAAACTGTAAGACAGGCAGTTGCCTGAAACAGAAATATGTTCAATAACTTTGCAGACTACTGAACAAATACAAGCAGCCCATAAGCATCTACTCATAATATCTCTTTGCTCCTAAATTGACAGATAGGGAACAGTAGTCCTAGTGATTGTCCCTGGATCAGCACAGAGAACCCATCATTTATTCTGGTATTTTTCAATTGTGCCTAAGACTGAAAATTTGAGAAAGGAGCTAAAAGGCTACACTGAACCCCAAACTGAGGAGCTCTCAGTTGAGCTTTTATGTGTACCCTTTCAAACACTGTACTATAATACTAGGAATAACATATACAGGCAGGATACACTAAAGGCTGGCTATCGCGCTCTCTAAAGTCAGTGTCTGGGCCAGTGAAATGAGTGTGATATGTAAAACAAAATGCTTGATATGGTACGTAGTGAGTTCACTTAATCCCTGTATTTCGAAGTCACTGTTGATCTTATCAGCAGTGGAAAATGCGCTGCGCTCTCCCTGCTTAACACGACCCAGATCCAGCAAATCCAGAGTACATCAACTTTAATTTCCTGTTAATCATGGACATGCAGTGCACTGGGTCAGAATATTTAAAGAACAATATGATTTATTCCCATCACTGAGCTGGTTATCAAAACAATCCTGTAAAGTGCACAGGAGCACAGGGTGTAAAACTGCGCCTTGCTTATGTTCTCTCATGAGGGAAATGAGAAGCATTCTGCTCTAACTTGCTATGTAGTGTGCCTTTGTACTTGTGAGGCTGCCAAGGCTCACAGGAAAGAGTAACAGCATAATTAACAGTGCAGCAGCGTTGAGCAACATTCCTTCTGATCTTTGTAGGAGTAGGAACCTTCAGACTCCAGCCAACATATTCATCATCAATCTAGCTGTTAGTGACTTCCTGATGTCCATTACACAGTCTCCAGTTTTCTTCACCAACAGCCTCCACAAACGCTGGATTTTTGGTGAGAAAGGTTTGTATATATCCTTTCTAAGATATCACCAAGTATGTTCTTACCATAGTGGCAGTTAATCTACTATTTCCTCATCCTCAGGTACACCTGCAAATTTTGGGAACACTTCCCAACATTGTTTCAATGTTGACATAAATGTTTCTTGAACATTTTTGTCTGTGTGCAATAAATACATTCCCCCTATGGCAAGGAAAATTTCATATATGAGATAGATACAAAGGCGACATTGGCACAGGACTACTCTTCTCGCCAGCATTCTTCCCCAGTCATTTCATAGCTTAGTTACTGGCAAAGTCCTATGACAAAAAAAGCACCACCCCTCAACAGCCCAGCTTAAAAGCTCTTCTAAATAACTTGCTCTGGCACTTGCACCTGGCAAAGTGAGGCAAGAAAGCCTGGCAAAGTGAGTTTTCACAACAGAAACATTAACTGAACATTTCCTGTGCAGTAAGAAAATGTGGAATGAAGGTGCTTTCGTTCTTCCTATTTAACTGTAGTAAGAGGAAGAGTAGTCTTTGCCTCTTGAACAGGTATTGACAGTGAGGAAGGCTGGAGAAATAATGCTGCTATTTTGCTCTCTGATGACCAAAACCACTTTTTTTTTTAGTTCCACAAAGTGTTCAAATAAATAACAACCAAACCCCTGCTTTTAATCATTAGGTTGTTTGAATAATTAGAATCACTCATTAATATATTCATAGTCTACATATTTAGTTCAGTTCTGCTGACCTTGAGATATAAACGGTTCCATGATATCAAAGTAGCTATAACCCACTGTTTAGCAGAACAGCCGTTTGTACGGGAGCTGCAGTAAAATTGGAGTTAAACAAGATATTAATGGACTGCTAAAATGATTCCACTAGAAACATCAGAAATCAATGAATGAAAATATGTTAAGTATCACTGTCTCCAGCAATTCAAGCAAACAAAATCTTTGAAGTTTATCTCCATGGATAATGTAATTAGCAAGACAGACAGCAGCTTTGAAATAGCATTACAGCTGCAGGAAAACTGAAGTTCCATTGCTTTACAAATTCTAGAAGACATGAGTTCACAAGAAACACAGACTTGAACTCTCCCAGAAATTAATTAGCATGGGTAGATTAATTTCACTGCTACTTCTGTCATCTTCATTGAAAGGCTGTGAGCTGTATGCCTTCTGCGGAGCTCTTTTTGGCATTACATCTATGATCACTTTGATGGTGATTGCCTTGGACAGATATTTTGTCATCACAAAACCCCTGGCTTCTGTTGGAGTGACGTCTAAGAAGAAGGCCCTAATAATCCTGGTAGGAGTCTGGCTGTACTCTTTGGCTTGGAGCCTCCCGCCCTTCTTTGGATGGAGTAAGTGAAATGGAATAAAAGGGTTTTTTTTCTCTCATAGCATGGGATTTAAGACTAGTTACAGGTATAGAAGAGATTTGAAATAATGGCTTGCATATTAGCCTTGAATAAATCAATTTGAAGGAAGCTGGTAAAATACATATTTAAACTGAAGATGTCTAATAAAAGAAAAAAAATCCAGTGTATATGACAGCATATTGCATGACAATGGCACTTTTCCTTAAGCTCATTACTTACCGAATAAAAAGCAGCAGATAAAATCAAGGCTAAAATTTATGACGGATATGCCTGCTCATTATCCCATACCTACTTCTGTTGAGCCAAATTCAACGATATAAAAGTGAAATAAATGTATTTTTCTTTTTTTCTGATCAGTTTTTTCCTCCCTAAAGGTACTGCGTAAGATAGTCATGTCAATCTAAATTTCTTTATTCATATAAAAAAAGAATACAGACTGAGTATTGTGTGCAAGTACATCTTCAATAAGTCTTGACTGTGTTCTAGATGAGCAAATTGCACTAGGTGTTGGTCACATTCTCCTTTCAGCCATTGGGGTCTTCACTAAGGCTTCCAATAAGGATGGCATTTAGTAATAACTAACTAATTTGCTTTTGTAAATGTGAATTTTATGCCTGCAAATTGGAACACACATACAGCATCTTGATCGTTGCAACTTGTAACAAAGAAAGTTTCTGTAATAACAGCATCTGCCTCACTACCATTAATTTGATTCCTGTGAGTCACCAGTTTCAGTATGTTAGAATGAACTCATCATTCAAAACCCCAGCCCACTATTGTGCTCCCTAATTCCAGAAGAGAGTTGTCAGCTCAGCCGAGGTGAGAATATGGCAATGTTTCATTTTCCCAAAGGATGCTGCAACAAACTCAGTTACTGAGTAAAATTTAAGCAGATTTTTGTTATTGTCTTGTTACTGTCATGAAGCATGTTTAAGCAGGCAAACTGCAATACTGGAAGAAGCAGCCTTTAGTTGAATGAGGAGCTGTTAGAACAACAAAATTACAATATAGTCTTACATTCTAGATTCTTAATTGGAGAAAGTGGAATAATTGCTTGAAGGGTGTTGGTATCTTGTAATTAGACTCTAATAGTACCCACAGTACTAACTCTCATATGGCAATTAGATGCATCTGAGCACATCTGGTGCAATTTTTTTTTAAGAGTTCAACAGAAAATATGACTGTAAACAGTGAAAATTAAAATACAAACATAAAAAAATATTGCTGTTGACAATTTCTTTACTTCACAGTTTGCCACAGTTCCTTTAAGGAGATTATATTTTATGTGAGGCAGAATATTGGGTATGTATGATTTTTTTTAACTTGTACTCAACTTTACTGCACGACAAAATTAATTTGATCTGCACAATAAATCTCTCTCCTTCGCACAGTAAATTTCTCTTACTTACACAAGCTTAAAAAAGTGGTAGCTACAGCAATCAGTTTCATTTCTCTCCTTGGGAAGACAGCAATTTGACACGAAAGGGAGATATTTGAAAACAATACAGGTCTGATCCAAGACCCACTGAAGTATTTGGAGAAAAAAAAAAAGAAAGAAAAGGAAAAAAAAAGAAAGAAAAGGAAAAAAAAGAGGTGCTTTAAACGAAGAATCATGTATCCTTTCGAACTCTTCTCCCCTCTAAATAGGACTAAATTCCATGTTATTCTAAGTATCTTTCTCTAACTTCAGCACTCAGAATAAGAATCCCTTCATGGCTTATGCTCATGCATCCTGTCTGTCTTTCTAGGTGCGTATGTTCCTGAGGGTCTGCTGACTTCCTGTTCCTGGGACTACATGACTTTCACACCATCGGTCCGCGCCTACACGATGTTGCTTTTCTGCTTTGTCTTTTTCATTCCTTTGATTGCGATCATATACAGCTATGTCTTTATATTTGAGGCTATTAAGAAGGCCAACAAGTAAGTAGCCAACAGTCTTTAAGTTTTTATCCTTCTGTTTAAGTGACTGCTTATTATCTTAAAACAAAGACTAACAGAAGAAAATTGGGAAGTTTTTCACTTTTAAGTTGTATGCATGACTGAGACAGGAAACCAAACAAGAATTCTGTCAATAGTCAACATGGTAAGAAGTATGATCCTTCAAAGGGCCATTCTTGAATTTAAGCCAGAGCTGTTCAGTATATTGTCTAATAACATGGAAAAGAGTATGAGTAGCACCAGTAGAAATCTGAAAGATGAGAAAGGACTACAGAAATTAACCAACAAAAAGAAATACTAAAGGGACATCAGAGACACCTAACAACAGTATATCAATAACTATTGCACAGAAAAATAGAGGACTCGAACAAAAAATTCCATATTTGGCAGAGGGTGAAAAAGAGGTAAAACATTTCATCTCGGGTCTCTGAAACAAAAGCTATTGTTATAAAAATAAAGGCCAATGTCTGCCAGTGCATTTGTAATCTGTAGATACCTGTCCTGTAGGTATCAGCATATCTAGTCCCATAGCTCAGAAGTACAGAGGGAGAGTAAGGTAGCAAAATCAGACCTAGGGAATCAAAGACTTCTCTAACTATATTTTAATCTAGCATTGTTCATTAGGCTTGAACACCTGATTTATGTGGAAATTCTTCTGGTACAGGACTATTTTCTTCATTGAAGTACATGTGAATTTTGCCATTGATTAGTGGAACAAAAGTGCATGCAATTCTGAAGGACTGGTCACATACATACATTAACACACATTAAAAGTGCATGACTTAGCATAAAATAGCATAAGAGTAATTCTTGCTCCATTTTATGAAGCTATTTGCTCAATTCCCTACCACCTTTTTTTTGCTGTTGTATGCTTATTTCTCCTAGGTCTATTCAGACATTTGGAAGCAAACACGGAAATAAAGAGTTCCAGAAACAGTATCAGAGGATGAAAAATGAGTGGAAGATGGCCAAAATTGCACTGATTGTCATCTTGCTTTATGTCATTTCCTGGTCACCATACTCTGTTGTTGCTCTGGTAGCTTTTGCTGGGTAATTATGAATGTATCAGCAAAGGAGTATTCAGTGAAAGCAAAAGCTGTGAAATTGTAAGAGATGAAAGTCAAAGCTACCTGTCAAGTTTAATGCCTCAAGTGCATCCAAAACATTCGCTTACTTAGGAGTGACACTTAACAAATGAGGCACATGCTGACTGTGATTCTTCCTTAGTTTGACTTTAAAAAAAAAAGTTTTTAAAAAAAGAAAAAAAAAACAGGAAGGTTATTCCTGGCAACATAACATTAATGTGCTAATGATTTCTGAATGCCGATTCTCTATGCTAGGATATTTTAACTATCTGAACTTTATTTAGCACCAAAATGCTACATAAGGGGCCCAAAAAGATCCACCCAGGGGTTGATTCTCTTTTCTTTCTTTCTCCACTTCGTTTACTTACAAAAGTATATTCATTTTCTTGTGTTACATCAAAATGTTGAAATTCCTTACACGTATAAGCAACTTCAAACTTAGAACATTGCATTGGGGAGCTTTTTGATGCTGAATATAAAAGATCATAAATATAAACCTTCTAAGCATGTTCTTCATCTATTTAATTGTCAGTATTTTATGCAGTAATTTCAGCAAAAGCAAGATGCTATTAATACATTATCTGTACATAGCTTGGCACCAGCCTATAGTTGATACAATCCAGGTACAAGTAATAGACTGGGAGTCTGGACACCTTGGCTCTATATGGTTATTTCTCCCATGTTAACATGCAAATCTTCCTGTGCCTCAGTGTAGCCTTTGTAAAGTGTGATTATCTGCTTTAGAAAATCCTCAAGTGGAAGACTCCCATGGCAGTACAAAACACTTTTATTTGCATTTTTCAAGTCAGAAATAAAAAGCAGGTCTTCCTAAAATTAACACACAGGATAAACTTACTTATGATGGAGCATTTTGGGAGGCAGGGGTGAATTTTTTACACACTTAAGGAAGAGGCCACTGCAGAGCCTCTTCTCAAACATAGCTTAGGAAGACAGCTTTCTAAACATAGCACTTCTAAAATCTTATGTTTAAGAAGAAAAAAAGCTAAGAGAAGAGGATTCTCTCCCTTTGTATCCAGAGGGGCAATTCTAAGCAGCAGCATACACTTTCTCCATGAAGGTAAACATGTTCTTCACTTAGAAACACGAATCCTTAGGTTGTGTCCCAGTGTCCCGTTTCCTATCACAGGGGGACTTGGGTACTGGGCACCCACCACTGGTGGTATGTGACCAACTAGAGACAGAGGAATAGCAAGAAGACAAAGAAATCCAGCACAGTTACCTTGCAGCACTACTTGCTCTAAGATACCTCAAGAAAAAAGAAAAAAAAAATTAAGAGATGCTTTAAGCTAAACTTTAAGCTGTCAGGCTGTCCCATACGATTCAGCATCTACTTTAGGAAATGAACTTGGCTTCTAGCCCATGTCTTACACTGAAAAAAACCTGAACAAATGGACAGTTTTATAACTCTACCGTATGTGACAAATAAGCATTTGCAAATTTTGCTCATGAAGGCATCTGGTGAACAACACAGCTTCATTCAGCGTCTTTTCCATTTCTGAACTATGCCTTTTAGGCAATCCGTCTGGGATTTTTCAGAGATTAACAGACCAAGCCTGGAGGCCTTCTGTGAACTTTTATTACTATGAACTCAGGTAAAATCACTGCATGCCAGTCTGTGGCTATAGTCTTGGACTAAACACAACTCATCTGACAGAGCAACAACATACACAAAATGAAGGAAGAACCTTAATTCCTTTAGAAAATATTCTGAACGGACAATACTAAGATAGCACGCAGTCATGCTCACTAATATCGTTGGCCTACAGGTATTTTCTGGGAGTGGTTAGCTTAAACAAAAGCCTCTGTCACTGTTTGTTTCTGCTGGCTGAACTCTCCATCAGTCTTACCAAAGCACTCTCTCTCATCTCAGGGTCAAAAACTCCATCCCAGCAAGGTTATACTGTTGTGTGTTCTGCAGATTCTGTGAAGAATTACACCTCTAACCAATGCTTTGAAAGCATGATTAGGAGAAACCATGTTAAAAATTGTACATGGAGAACATGCTGCTCGGACAATTCTTACCAGTGAAAAGCTTTAAATTAGAGGTGAAATGGCATCTCAACATTCAGGCGGCTGACAAAATGATTCCTGTATTACCATTGGCAAACCATTTCCACCTCATCACAGAGCATAAATATTCTTGTAGTATGATGAAAAAATTCTTCACTGGGAAGAGGAGCTACAACCTACTTATGCAATTCTCTTCACTGTTTGTTTGCAGTGCTCATGAGAGACCTTCTGAGAGAGGATTGAGAGGAAAATCTGTTTTCTCCCATAATACTACAGGAATACAAGGCTAATTGAAAGATGGAACTTAGAATGCCTTCTCAGGAAGAAGAGCAGTGATAACGAAAGGATGTTATCCTTAGCATGAAAGACCGACTTACTAGGCCATTTCACTAAGAACTCTTTCTACCAATGCAGGAAGAGGTCTTCATAGTCTCTAAGCAGGTCTATGGAGAATTTGCCTGGTAGAAACTGCCTACGAAATGTTATTGTTATTTTGGTCTGAGCTGTTCTATTGACTTTCTTCTGACCAAGACCTTCTGAGCTACTTCAAGCTATCTTCAAAAATTAACTGGCTGATAGCAGCTTGGCAGATAGACATCAATCATAATTCTTTTATCCTTTAGAGTCACATCACCTGCATATATGCATGGTCACAGTAACATGCGAGAGTAACAAATGACACCTGAAAATACTCCCCCTTCACTTTTTAGTTCAGATCAGGCAAAAAATACAGTTTGAATCAGAAAATAGATTTATTAGTTGACATATTACTCAGCAAGTAGATCTGCTGAGTTTGGAGCAGATAGATACTGTGATGAATGCACACTCACTTACTGAAGGCTGGCTTTGTCCCTAGGGTAAACAACATGGGAATTGCCACCATACTGAGTCACAGTAGTGAAGTGTTGCAAGAGAAGCCCCAAGATATCATGTTTCTCAGAAATGCAATTAGGTGGATGTTGATCTTTACAGTCAAAGGGTGTAAAATTTGTTCTCTCACTGGGTACAGAACTTCCCCTGTTACTCTCCCTGGAGCACTACTCAAGCATTGCGTTGTCAGTGTATAACTGCATAGACTACATAGAACTCAATACTAAATACAGAATGCATTTGCATTACCCTAGGTATTCCCACGTCCTAACACCCTTCATGAACTCCATACCAGCTGTGATTGCCAAAGCTTCTGTCATCCATAACCCCATCATTTATGCCATTACTCACCCAAAATACAGGTAAGTTCACTCTTATAAACTCTGTTTAACACAGCAAAGAAAATCAGACATTAACTGTCACTTTTAGGACTAGTACCTGAACTCTGCTTCACCTGTTCATTTTATCTCTGCAAGACAGCCTTGCCCTGCCCAAGAAAACTTCTCAATGCCATATAAATGTCAGTGGAATTTGTACTTGGAACAAATTACTATGCAGATGGGAGTTAGAGATGTTTATGGATACTGATCTGTACTTACAGATTACATGATAAAAGATAGAGACCTTTCCACCTCAAAGGAAAGCACCGTAAAATTTTAACTATCTTCATGAGAGATGCAAACATTTGTCAGTGTTGCAAATAGCAGTTTGTTAAATTAACCAGGCCAGTGAGAGATGCAATTCAGTAAGTCAATCCACCTCTTCTCTATTTTGTGCATCTTCCCCACCCTTCTTCAAACTTTCATATTTCAGATAGTATTTCTTCTGAGTTGTAACATCTAGGGTTATTACCATATCAAGTTCAGATGCAGGCTGTAAGATCTGATGGATGGCAGCAAAGCCATATATGCTGCCATTTCACCCTTTACAAAGACCTGCTGGGGAACTGGACAGAGAAGAGGTGAGCACGAACATCTAAGTGTGGAAGGCCAGGAGGAAGAGGAGAGCTAGGTAAAAGAGTTTCCTTATGCTGCATATGAGGAAAGAAATACTGTAAAATAACTGCACTTTTTGCACAACTCTACAGAAAGCTGGCAGACAGATGTGTAAGAGGAAGCTAGAATAGCTGCTTAGGGGAAGATTAAAATAATTCATTATGTGGTACTTCTGCAAGGTTCAGTTTAAAGGGACAGAATTTTATTTTTGCCCTGATTAAGCTGAAAGCAGATAAAACATCATTTTAATAGCTCCCTTCAGTTCGAAGAGTTATACTTTAATGCCCTTATCCCTGCCAAGCAATAAATTTGAGTTCTGCAGAACACTGTGAATAAGTGATCTTGCAGGGTGATTGTGTATGAGATATTGGATATCTGGAAAACTCTTTTCGTACCCAGTAATTTTCCAGTCCATGCAGCATTAGTTCATCTCTATGAATAAATGCATTGTTTATGATGACTGAATTTTTGTGCTAACAGAAAAAATCTGACTGGTTCTACCTCTCATCCATTAGAACAGCCATTGCAACATATGTTCCTTGCCTTGGACCCCTGCTGAGAGTTTCTCCTAAAGACTCACGGTCTTTCAGCAGTTATCCCTCCTCCAGACGAGCAACCGTAACCAGCCAGTCTTCTGAGATAAGTGGGCCGCAGAAAGGAAAAAGGCGACTGTCTTCTCTCTCTGACAGTGAATCAGTAAGGGAGACACTTCCCATATATCCATTTTCAATTGCAAAGTAATTCATTTTCATATAGATTCCTTCAAAGTGGTAGATTCTTTAGATGAAATGCATTATGGTGCTCATTACAACAGCTCCAAAGGAAGCAGAGACACACAGTGAAATAAAAGACATTCTGTCCAGCTGAAGTGTAAAAGCAGAATGTAGATCTTTGTGTTCTTGATGATTTGTGACACTGAAGGAAGAGTGGAAAGATGGAACAAAAGGAATTTTAGAAAGTAAGGGAAGGTTAGAGTCAGAGCACCCTTGACAGTCTGATCATACTTCTAGGACGTACTTGTCTGACCACATAGTTGAAGTCTGGACACAGACACAAAAGAACCTGCTGGTCACTAAATAGTTCTGTAGTGAAAGCAAGGTTTTAATGAAACAGACACTGCTTTCTGAAAGTGAAATGGGCTGTATTTGGAAACATATTAATCATCAGATTTAGACAAACTAGTAAATCCATTACAGAATCATTCTCACAGAAGACCTCAACAGCTTGCTGTTGCCAGTCTAAGTGAAGCCAAATGTTTTGCATAGCAGCTGGAAACAGAGCAAATATTTGGCTTCCCAGGCTCTCTCTTGCAACCTAAAGTTGCACTACTAACAAAGTAATTAAGCACATTAGTTAGTTCTTTGCAATTGTTTTAAATGAAATCTCCAAATATATGAAAAGCCATCATTTTCTCAGTGATTCTTATTCATAGTCAAGATAATCATTGTACGTAATCCAGGCAAGTTCTGAATTCTGACAGCTGTTTTTAACAGTGATATTTCAGTTTCTTTGCACTCTATATTCTTTGGCTTCTTGGTCTAATCAAAATGAAATTCTTCTGGCTAGCAGCCACCATTCAGGTGGAATGTTTTAAAATTGGCCGATGAAAAAAGAAACACTTTTATATTGCATCTCGTAGACTGTGAATCCTGATTCTTAAAAAACCAACAGACTCTCTTCGTAACACTGTGTGTTCTTGTACCACTATCAGTGCTGGAGAAGGGGAACCTTACAAACAATTCAACAATGCTTCTTGCTTAGGAAAGCACCTCTTAATACTTGAGGTAAAATAGTGGAATGGAGAATGAAAATTCCAAGTAATTGCCATGCTTCAGTCTGGAATTTTCTATAAGCCTTGAGTATGTCTGGATCTTGTTCAGAACAATGACCGAGTCAAGATTTTCTGACAAAAATACGTGTCCCTTAGCTATCTGATTTGACCACAGAATACTCTGATTTATTACTAAGTAGTATCAGTTTAGCTGAAGTACAGAGCAGAAAGAAGGGCTCAAGTTTAAAACAAACTTGCTTTGATGCTTGCCGATAATTTATTTTGGTTGGGTTTTTTTGCACCATATGTGTCTCAACTAAGCTGTAAGACTTCTAGACATTCACTCACAGTGCAAAAAGGCAGTACGTATGCTGCCATGTATTTTATGTCAAGGCTGGTCATCGAACAGTAAGCCGACAAATTATCTTCATGCAATTTTTTTGTACTCCTGTGGACACAAAGATATTCCACACCTTGGAAAATCCTAAAGAAACAATTTCCAGTCAGTTCTTCGCAATGAAAAGGAGCCAAGCTCCAGAACAGATGCTCAGAAAATAAAGTCACTTCCATTTTAAAATTCAATCAAATGGGACTGTAAGTGCTAATACATTCTACGCATGGAACGGGAAGCACAGTACACATTTTTTAAAATGTTGGGATCCAGAAAATAGCCCCGTCCAACCTCTTGTGCTTCAGCA